GGATGAAATAAGAGAATTCCCTATTCCAATTCAAAACTAAGACGATAAGTCACGCTCATGATTCATCTGAACCTGTATAGTCTGATAATGGTGTGCATACACCCTTTCCCGTTGAAATTCGCTGCTTATTTTCTGTTTCTGACAAAAATGATGTCATTTAAAATAAAATCCATTTTTTATTGATACAAACTAATAAATAAATTACAGCTGTTGAAATAATTCGTTAATTCGGGGTTTATTATTCATTAAATGGTTTTTTTTTTGTCTTCATCTTAATCGGTGAAAGAGAAAAATTCATTAAGACGCGAAATTTGTTTAATAGGGATTCGGTAAATACTTTTTTCCTCCGAAAGAAAAGCTGTTTTTCATTCTCAAATGTTTTCAATTTCTCTAACTATTGTCCTCGCCGAAAGACAGGTAGATGGAAGCTTTTATTCTGGGCACATCTTTCTTCGGCTGTCATCCGGAAACATGATTTAATTAAAACGCCAGCGGTAAATGATTTTGTTTTTGTGAGTAATAAATGGGCTATTCCTATATATATATATATATATATATATATATATATAAACTGATTTTTACTTACAGTTTTATTATTATTTTTTATTTTTACAAACAGATTGCATTCTGTTTTAAACTTTCCAATAGTAATAAAACCATTCATTTCGGAAAATTTAGTGTTTGGAGTAAGTATTTAGCGCATATAAACACAATTGTCAAAACTTAAATAATATTTTTAAAGCATTCCAGCTAGGTTCGGAAAGCAATTTTTCAAATATTTATTTTCAGGAGAAATTTATTATTTAAAGAACATAAATAGATTTAAAGAGTCATAATTATTAAATACATAACACGTAACCCCCCCTCTTGTTTTGGAAAAAAATACATTTTGTCATAAAATTTTAACAAAATTTTTAATGTTAAGATAAACAGCATAAATAATAATATGTTGGATATCATGTAATTTTAATTTCATTGATATATTTCTTGATCCATCTGAAGCTTCACAAACCCCACGATAAAAAAAAAATTATGGGATAAATATTTTATAAGCATTCAAATTCGACTTAATGATTTTTCATCAAAATTTATGTTCTAAGCTAAATATGGCTGTAAAACAAGATCTGCTACACTCTAAAGGGTTTATTGCGTAAGTGTTACAAATTTCATTGAGTTTTATTGGATTGTTTTGGAGATATCCCCTTTTTCATGCACAAATTGTAATAATTTCATTCTTCAAAAAACACATTAAAATTTTTTTTATGAGTTAGATAAAGTGAATATCAGAAAAACTTAAGATTCTCCAGTTTTAAATGATATTCCCCCTTCTTCAATACTTCTTTTCTTTTATTTCTTTTCGAATGATCCTAAAACCTAAAAAACACCTTTTCAATTTAGTCGTATACCTAAATTGATTTCTGTATTTTTCAAATGGATCAAACCAACGAGCGAAAAGTTAAAATTTTTTCCATTATAACTAAACTTTGATTAAGAATTTTCATTGTCCACAAACTTCAAATTTAATTTGAGATTTTAGTATGTGCCCTCTGAAAAAGGGACACTTCTGTCAGGGGGCAAAATGTGTTCCTTATTGGGAGGTACTACAGCAATTTAATTCGTTTTTCATGTAAAAAAAAAAAAATTCCGCGGACCGAATTAAAAACAAGCGATGGATTATAATTGACCAACCCTTACCATAGGATCAGTAAGATCTGTCGAACCACAATTATGCTGTTGTTTCTAATGCCACACCTGTCTGACGTAGTCAGATCGAGGCCCACGAAATTCATCGTGGCAAGGGGCTAGAAGTACGCCTGTCGTTGGCTTTGAGCACCATACAAGGGACAGTACGATTTAGCTCGGCGAAGTTCCCCGAAGGGTCGATAGATGGCGACACCACCTATCTCCACCTCCACAATTACTGCATTGAACTGAAGGGGAGGGAAATATTCTCTAGTCCCTGCGCTCGTGACTCAGCCCACAAGACTTCGGACCCACTGATTTAACGAGCACGTAATCCGTGTGTACTCGGAGGGTATTTGGTGGCATCGGCCATCGAATTCAGGCCTTCCAGTCTGGAATCCAATGCTCTAACCACTAGGCTATCCACGACCTAGTTACCACGGCTTTATGTTAACTACAATGCGATTTTAAACCTTGGATATATTTATGCAAATGAATACATTGCAACCAGCATTATTTTGCATGACGGAATTTTACGAAATTTGGACATGAGCAGGCGGCTTAATTTAATACCACAGGGTATATAGTTCCCGAACACGACTCTCGGCTGACGGAGCTCCGTATTAAGACAGAAATACGAGTTGAATTCTAATTGAATTCCGATATATTTTAAATACATAAAGTCTCTTACTAAATTATAAACGTAGGAAAAATCCCCAAAGGAATGTATTGCTCCAGAAGTTTTAATTTTACTACATTTAGTTAAGGCAACACGAGGGCTATTTGGTGACTGACCTCATAGTTTTGAATGTGGATCAAATCACAAGGACGACATCTGAGCTGGTGTTCTCTCTCCAAACTATCACACCACACTAACGGGAACACAATGAGCCGATAGATTGCACATGAATCAAACCGCTTTACACATCAGGTCTTCAGCAGCACTAAGACTCGAACTCATGACACGCCGGCCATGAGAGTTCGAGACCATAGCCTCTAGGCTACCACGGTCTTTCTAAAGTTAAAAATCAGGTATGAGAATTTACTGATGAATCAGGAAGATAAAAATATAGTTTTCAATAAAATCTGAAATATTCAAAAAATGGGATTTTGTAGGTGAAACGGATTAGATGTTTCGATTTGGGTTAATATATAGTCGAACCTCTATATAGCGAACTTTTTACAGGAACCTTGAACGTTTTAAGATTTTCTTCGTAAAATAACCTCTCTATTGTGAAGTGCATTTTCTATATAACGAACTTTTTCTTTTGAGATTCATTTTTTTTTCTCCCTTTTTTAAAAGTATTTCCGAACATTTCAAGTTATTCTCTCCTTAACACATTTTATGGTGGTCAAATCTTGAACTGGTTTTATTAGGTCCTAACTCGTTGAGAGCAATAGAGTTCTAAATGTTTCTTTCAAGAAGCGCAACCTTTAACCCCCATTGTCCAGTTCACTAGAAACATCTTCGATGTCCCCTTTCACATTCAGTGGAATTGTCCCTTCTCCTCGTGTTCTAGTTATAAAACAATGTATGTTTCATATTACTTGTATGCTTTAAATAAGAAAACGTTCTTAAAATTCATTAATTTTAATTTAAAATTATTTTCTTAATATTGAAAAAACAATGACACATATTCGACATTGTACGAAGCCTTTCTCTCAAGTGCTTTGATTATAAAGTAATAAATTTAATATTACATTACATTTATCACAGCCTGTATCAAAATTCAACATCGACAGTTAAATCTATTTTAAAGTCACTAGTTATCTAGAAGGAAAAGACGTATTTAAACAATCTCGCCTCTAAAGATCAATCTAAAAAACATGATACATTCAAATCAAATTTAAATATCAAATAAAAAAAAAGCTTTCGTTTCATTTATCCAAATTTGCTTAAAATGACAAGAATCGAAAAATCTATACATTTTTTCCCTTTCTATTGAATATCCAAACACCCTGTCGAAGCTTTAATTATAATCAGATATGACCCAATTAAAGCTTCTACTTCTGCATGTATTTATATACACGAGATCACAGTTGAAAATATCTGAGAAAGGAAACATACAAAGTGCAATATTAAAAATAACAATTTAAACAGATTTTGCAGGAAAAGGTAAAATGTATGCGTGACTAATTCATGGGGTTTCCTTGAAAACTTTATTATCACGCGCATTTGACTGCATATCCTACGTAACCGTTTCGTTGTGTGTAAAGTATTTTCATATTGACTGAGTGCACGCCAAAATGTTATGATTTGTGTAAATAGTGTGAATATAATATTCCTTTCAACAACATGAGAAATCACAATTATGTATTTAGAACCTTGGGTCAATTTCATGTATTAATAGACTTATTGGACATTAGACAATCATAACAATCAGTATTTTTTTTATGTTCACCTTTAAAAAATAATTTTATTATTAAAAATGCGTTTAAAAAACAGTGCTTTATTCATTAGAACAAACGCGGATAATCATTTCTAATTCAGTCAAGAACAAATGATTCTTTTTCGTTGTTATTGCAACCAGCGTTGCCAAAACCATAGGAACAGAAAAAATTCTAATGTGATACTAAGAAAGCTGTAAGCAACATAACAATTAAAAGTAAAAAAAAATTGCAGTTATTTAAAATTCTTGTATTAATTCAAACCCCAAAAGATTAGTAAAGAACAAGCCAATAAAGAAATTTGGTATTTACGATATATCGTAAACTATTGGCGACATTATATGAAACGAACGACACGTTAGAAATCGGGGCTGCCAACTTGGCGAACTAACAGAGTTGGCGATAGTTGCGATAATACGCAAGTACCAGAAATTTATTTTTATAAAGATTCACGAGTTTTAAAAATCAAATTTTTATATTTTCTAAAGAGAATTCAAATTTTTAATAAAATGGATAAAATATATTTCGATTACAAACAGCAATTCATTACCACACACACATTTTTTTGAATTCTTACTATTGGTTCACACTCTCCCTAGTATATATTTAATTTGTTAAATTTAATGAATTAATATTTGAAAAAATGTATTAACATCAAGTGTCATCCACTACAAGTTTAAAAAAATGTGTTTGAACTTGAGTGGATGAATAAAAAGCATTTGTACACATATCTTGTTCAAATTTTTAATTAATAAAATACTTTTTACTCATCCACTCAAGTTCAAACACATTTTTTTAAACTTGTAGTGGATGACACTTGATGTTAATACATTTTTTCAAATATTAATTAATTAAATTTAATTAATGAATAAATAGTAACCAACAAAAATAGTCCAGCACCATATATAAAAAGGAAAATCGCTTGCTGTTTCCCGGTAGCGCAATAGATAGCGCGTTGGACTTCTGATCCAAAGATCGTTGGTTTGAATCCTATCTGGGATGGCCTAATTTCGGAGAATGTGATTTATCAATGAATCTCTACTTTACCACTTAAAATTGTGATTCTGTCATATGTATATACATTTTTATATTAATTGTAATTTAATAAAAAGTAACTAAAATTTTTAAAAAAATTTCTTTGCTGATCTAAGTAGAAATTGACTTAGAAAATTGTTTTCTTTTTTATATTATTTGCTATATTGTACGGTTACTATATTGGCGAAATAAGCAAATCATATATTTCCGCCAAGTTTTCCGTAAAATTTCAAATGTAAAAATCATTTGGTCCAAAATTATGCCAAATGGCGAAGACGAGATGAGCATGGATGCCTCATATTATGTAATTTTAGGTTCTATTTTTGCTTAAAAAATGTACAATAAAGTATACATTCATTTTTTTAAAAAATAACTATTCGTACACAGGTTAGATTTTTGGCAATTTTGCACTTTTATATTACTTACTTGAATAAGAATAGTGTGGGAAAAAATATAAGTCAATCTTATATATATATATATATATATATATATATATATATATATATATATATATATATATATATATATATATATATATAATCAGTTGCATTTAACAACCTTTTAGTTAGGATGAAATTCGTCATAAGAGTCTAACTGTTACATTATGAATAGAATTATAGCAATATAGTTCACTAATGATTTTTTTTTTATATAGAAACATAATCAACATGATCACGACGTTTTTTCTAGCTAAATATGTACATTTTAAACAGAAATAAACACATTTCTAATAAACATGTTTTGCATGTTTGAAAAAGAAATTAGTTATGGTAAGTAGTATATGGAAAGCCCCGCATAATCACACATAAAAGGAAATGCATAAAAATTCATTGATAGCAGATTTGAACTACAAAACATGATTCAAAATTGCTTAAGAAACAAATTTCCACTGTCGGCTCAAATCATTTAAAAAAAAAAAGGGTTAAATTTTACGGTTAAAGATTTATTATGGTTAAAAGTTTTTAAATGTTTTTTTATATTTTTAAAATGTTTACTGTTTACAGATGATTAATGAACTATTTTAAAACAATTGTCATAACTTTTTAGATCTGTGTTTGGTTAAACAGCGTTAACAGGGCGTAGAAGTGGCAAGAGGTAAAAAATTGTGATTCTCTGATAGTACAAATAATGGGGGGAATCATGTTTTCAACATTTTATAACGGAGTATTTTAACACATCTGCCTCAATAAGATGTTTTTATTTTGGAAAAATTATCGATTTGTAACTTTTTAAAAAAAATTTAGCAAGGTGGTACCACGAGAAGAGAATCAAATATTTCTTTTAACTAGTTTATACATATGCTTCCTCCCCCTCCAAACCCCCCCCATTTTACTACCTAAGTTACACATAACATAAGAAACAATACGCAGAAAAACTAAGTCGCATGTATGTATAATCAATTTCAAATGATCAAGCGGTCACGACAGCCAAATGGCCATGGTGGCGAATTCATAGCAGGTGCTACTTTCGTCGAGTCGTGGATTCGACTCCTAATGTCACTGAAGACTCATCGTGTAGAGAACTGATGCACGTTTTGTGCGTTGAGACTCAAAGTCCAAAGACGAAACCTGAGTTCGCACCCTTCCTTCATCAAATCACACTACGCCTACGGGAGGGCTTTGAGCTTCGACAGATTTAACGTGCATCAGCCCCTCTAGACGGAAGCTTTTTATTAACACTGGAGCTCGAATTCATGATACACCGGCAACGAGTTCGAGACCACAGCCACCAAACTACCGAGGTCACTCTAGCTTCAGAGTGCGACATCAGTGGCGCACACAAAGGAGGGGTCCGGACCTTCAGGACCCCTCCCTTGTTTGTGCCCCACAAAGCCCTTAATTTTTTTCGATTGTGTGATTATAATTTTAAGTATATAGTACGTAAAATTTAATGCAGTATTTGTTATTAATGAGATATTAATTTTATTAATTAATGCTAATTATTTATTCAATAATTAGTTTTTTTATTGTGTTTTGATCCCGAAAATCGGCAAAATCAAAAGGAGCATGATACAAGAATGGTGAACTTTCGACCCCAGACTCCCCTTGAAAAATTCCTGTGTGCGCTACTGTGTGACATTAATAATTTATTAGCTTTAAGAGATCAAATAACCTATCAGAACAGTAGCACACACAGGAATTCTTTCAAGGTCGGAGGGGAGGGGGGAGGTCAAGGGTCGAAAGTGCACCATTCTGGTATATCACAATACGCCTCTTAAGTGTATTCTTTTGATTTTATCGATTGTGGGGAACAAAAATAGTAACAAATCTAATGAATAAACAAGCATTCACACACATAAATAAAAATGAAATTACCTGAATTAGCATTATTTTACGTACTACATACAAAAGATTATCAATTGAAAAAAAAATCAAGGGTGATGAGGGGTTTGGACCCCCACCTCCTAGTGCGCACCACTGCATCAGAAGATTACGATCTGTGGAATCAGGGATCATTACATTCCTTGGAATTAACAAAAATTTCATTGAAGGCAACAAACAAAACTAAGTTCAAGGAGAAAAGGGGAAAAAAGAAAAAACACACCTTTAATTAATACGATTGAAATTTCGAGTGACAAAGCAGAATACAGTTACTAATGTTAAACTTATATCGGTATCCATATACAGAGTTATGTTAACGGTATTGTTTTAATAAGCCGCCTAGTTATTCACTCAATACACTATTTTTTTAACACAATTTGTGTGTGTGTGTTCCACTTAACATCTTTCAAAGAAACCATACAATCCTCAATAAAAGAAAGTCCATAGAATCGTATACAAAACAGATTAAACACTTGTTCAATAACGATAAGAACGAAGAAGAAATCAATAAAAATAATCGCCTGAGGGGGGGGGGAATGAACATAAATCCATCCGCAAACAATTCCAGGACGTACACAAAAGCCGATCATCAGGACGTACACAAAAGCCGATCATCTTTCTGTTTTCATTGACGTGGGAGAGATGAGAACTTCTCTCTTCCAAGGGCGCGATTCGCCGAAAAGGGGGAGACAAGAAAAGGGGGAAGGAACAGGTCTGACGGGTGGAATGCCGGACAGGTGAGGTCAAAGAGAGGAGACCGGTACCCCCCAAGGCAGGGCCCGGCCGGCACATTCCGCCAGGTGAATGCCAAAGGGTAGATCGTTTCATCTTGACGAAAGCCCTGGTGGGTCATTTTTCGCAGCTGCATTTGCATTTTTAGTTTGAGACAAAAAATGCCGTATATCTCCTGCTTGGCCCTTGAACCAGTGACCTAAGTCTATTATTAAAGCCAGGCATGTTGGTATGTTTTATACGTTAATAACGGATTTTGAAAGGATAAAAACAAGAATGTGTGTAAGAAACAAATTATCAAAAGGGAATATTGCAATACTTTTTACTATAAATGGGTGCGAAAAAATTTTAAATTATTTTTGTTTAATTAAAATACATGATTTGGTGTGTTCCATACTACTGCATTTTAACAAATTTTAATCGATTTCCTAGATAAATAAGAAAATTTACCGTAAAATCCAGCGTATAAAAAAGGTCCACCTCTACTTTCAAGAAACTTTTAATTTTGGGGTATATTTCCGAAAAACATATGTACACCCCTTTATATTAAAGAAACTACCGAAATTTTTACGGATGCAATGCTGTTTTAATTCGATGTCATTTATTAGGAGTATTATCCCATGCTTTTGAAAAATAGTACAATTTTAGAACTGGAATCTTAAGTTGATTAGGTAAGTAATTCAATTTAAATAAACAGTATTCCGATCGATGTAAAATCCTAATTTTTTTGTACTCATTTATTTTTATTTTTAAAGCTATCGTTTTTATACCCAGAGTATAACACGCACCCGTAAATTTCGATCTAATTATTTATATTATAAATGAGCGTTATTTGCTGGACTTTACTGTAATTAGTTTTATAATTGATCTTATTTATTGTTGAGTAATTCAAATTTAAGCAACAATTACGCATTTATATCGGGGCTGAAAAAATTTGACCAAATTTAATTTTTAAAAATCCTAAATCAATTTTGAAACTGATTTGATTTTAATTTACGTCGTACTATGATACATTTAAAGCATCACATATATACAGGGAGTATAGAGGTAAAAATAAACTGGAAAAAACAATTTGGGATTGAAGAAATCGTTTCATTATCAGAAAAAAATGGGTTTCATGTAAAATATGTAATATCTAATTACATTTTTCAAATAAATTTTCTTTCGTGAAAAGAGGCAAGTAAGTTTCTAATTAAAATCCTTACTTTTAAGAATATTCCAAATCACCAAAAATTCTTTTGGTAAAGAAATGGAAAGAAAATAGAAGAAAATAAATATAGTAAAGCAAAGTAATAAACACAAAAGCAGTTGGCTAAATGAAAAACTTTAATCAAAGGACCGGGTCATTTTTAGCTGAAATTTGTCAACTTAAACTACAAATTTTAAATATATTCCGCAATTTCAAATGCGAAGAACATTTCTACAAATTCTACTTATCGGTTTCCATTTTGTATAAATTATACATTTTAAAAACTATTCAGGAAATAACTAAAACGAAAGAAAACGTGCAAAAAGGTGGATCAAAAAATTTTTTTCAGAACTTCAAAACCTACCTTTGTGAAAAAGATATTTCGCTAGTATGTAGATGAGAAAAATAATAAATATGCTGAGAAATGCCACAAGAACAATGTTAGGTATTTACGCTCATTGACGGTAAAAAGTCTAATTTTTATTCAGGTGAAACAGGCATTTTAGTACTTTTTAACATTTATGGCGACAAGAGAGGAGTCATACCAAACAGTTATAAGAAAAAACCTCAGATACATTCAATAGTTTTACTGTTAAGTTTTAAAAAATCCTACGTTTAAAATTAGTGCACGATAAAAGCGGAAGACGGAGTGAGTGAGTGAATATTAACGTCGCACTGTTAAGCTACACGAGGGCTTTTGGCGACGGACTTCGTAAATTTGAGCC